TTTGTATTGTGTTTATTAAAATTACTAGCAAAATGTTGTTGTTGGTTTTTTCAAAAAAATGGTGGCAAAATGGCATACATGCACCGTCATCCATACAATAAAGAGGAGCCTGTTGGGTCAGGCTAATGTTCTCACCGTGGCCACCCAGACACATGTGGGAAACCCACAAGCGGAACCTCAGCAACACCTTAAGAGCATAAGAAAAAAAATATCCCTGGCATAATATACCCAAGTGTTACCTGCACACAGAAGGAGCCAATGAACTCACAGTGAACTACAGCTCAGGTTGGAGAGGAGGGCAAATAAAATTCAACAATTCTGACTAAAACAACACTTAAAGACCACTTTACGACCACTAAAGATTGTTCCAAACTAAGATTTTTCTAGAAATGTCAGGTGTACAGATTCAACTTATTGCATCTCTAATTACAAAATGAGTTTTCCTTTCGCTGTGAAAAGGTCAACAGCTAGAAACACTTGCTTGTTCGTTAATGAGGAAACCACAACAGCAGGTTTCACACCACAAAGCCTTATGATAAAATTAAATATGAGCAAAAAAAAAAAAGACTTTGGTGGAACTGTTTGGTTAAGATGAAACAGAAATGGCAAAGGCAATGAAGGAACAAGAAAGAGTATGAGGTGCACGTAATTAAGAGGTTACTAGCAGCCTCATCCTCGGAGTTGCTCAGGAATTCTAGGAAACCCAAAAAAATCAGTGCAGTTTTGAAAAGTACAGCACACCATCGCCATTCAAAAAGACACCCAACTGTCTCCAAATTTAGAATAAAGATGCGCTTGCTGATCTCAGGAACCATCATGCAAAATTTCATCAAGATATCTTAAGGGAACGGACAAACAGCTTTCCAAAATATATAGGAGATTCAGACCAATGCATTTAATTACAATCTTAATTGCGGGTACTGTAAAATAAAACAACACACTAGCCTGTAGCACATGTAGCTCACGTGTAAGGCAACAATGCAATGAGCAGGGAATGGGGCCATACTTTTAGCCCTGCCCCTGACATTGTGTTTGCTTCATGTAAAACACAGATGCTGTTCGCGATTCTGTGTAGGAACCTCAGCATGCAAGTTCCTGCTCAAATGAAGAGACACGTGGTAATACAGGTGTCCCAATCTTGCAAAAACTCTTGTAGGAGCTTGCTTGTCGATTCTCACACAACTGTGTGCAGCATGCGGTGGCTGCAAAGAGGGAAGTGCTATGCTGAAGGTGAGGGCTCAAAGCGTGCCTCAGCTCACTAGGTGGAATCTACACACATATAAAAAATGGTCTGAAAATGCTTTTTAAAAAGCGTTTTTAAAAATGCATTGAATTTTCCATAAGGCTCACCGTTGCCATCTAGTGTCATATTGTATACTGCAATTAAAGCACACTTAAAACGTTTTATTTGCAGCTGTATAGCTGAGTCCTTGAAGGGATGTGGGTAGCACTGTGGGTTAAACCACAGAGCCTAGGATTTGCCGATCAGAAGGTCGGCAGTTCGAATCCCCGCAATGGGGTGAGCTCCTGTTGCTTGGTCCCTGCTCCTAGCAGTTCGAAAGCACGTCAAAGTGCAAGTAGATAAATAGGTACCACTCCAGCAGGAAGATAAACGGCGTTTCCGTGCGCTGCTCTGGTTCACCAGAAGCGGCTTAGTCATGATGGCCACATGACCCAAAAGCTGTACGCCGGCTCCCTCAGCCAATAAAGAGAGATGAGCGCCCCAACCCCAGAGTTGGCCACGACTGGACCAAATGGTCAGGGGTCCCTTTACCTTTACCTAGCTGAGTCCTTACTTAAAAGGCTGCTGGTCTACACACAAGTAATATGGGCATAGGGATTCTGAGTTTTCTGCGTGCTGTGGAGTGATTTCTCTATCACCTGGCAACATGCAAAACATGAGTGTGCCCCTAACAAAGACTATAATCAAAACACATTGGGCTAAACTGAATAAATTATCAATCCGTGTGCCTCAGAGGTTCTCTCCACTCTATAACAGCAGCATTTTATCCTCTGTTTTGCCCTTAAAACACTTTGGCAACACACAGTCTGGCTGACAAACCAATGAACCCACTATATCTCACTGAATTCCAGCTAATTCATTTGTGAAGTGAAGCCCTACATTTAAAAGAAAGAGGGAAGGGGGGATCTATTTTGCTCATTGGTGATTGCTTTTTCATAAGAACTGGTTCTTAAAATGATCTATGATTGTGACAGAAAGGCTTACCTAAGGTAATGCCTTTCGTAGTTACATTCATTTAGTTTGGTAGAACAGGTTAGTTTAACAACTAATTTTAGCATAAATACATCATACCCTTAATTGCTGATGCTAGTAAATATGAGCTTATGCAAACAGCATGAGACACGTCAGGCAACACAAATGTTGCTACAGTTCAGAAACCTTCTACTGCTGTTTTAGTGTTTAAATCATTCTATAACTTGTGGATTCTATCCAACATCAGGCAACATGGAAGAGCAGACCTACTTCAATTAATTTAAAGGAATATAAGATTTCACAGATACAATTTAAGGTATACACATGTGACAAACACATGTCTGCAAATGGTGCGTGATACATTTGCACTCCTCAAGGGTTCTGATTGATTTCTGTTCTTTATTAACCTTAGTTTTAAAAGCAAGCCATGGTTTACTGTACACAAGCAGCATGCTGGTGTGTACCACTGAAAAGTTCTTACTCTGCTCCTCTCTTCTTCCTGCTACCACCCCCCTGCTGGATGACAAACCAGGGTCTGGCTTGTTGTGGCACATGAATACAGCTCGTGCTTTGCTTTCTCCAACAAACCACAAGCACAAACCTTGGTTATCACTTGTGGCTCGCTTTGGAGAGAAACAAAACAGTAGGACAAGTTTTCGAAGACCGTGACTCTGACGAGGAGTAGAACTTTTTGGCAGCATGCACCAGCATGCTGTTCATCCACATTAAAGCACAGTTTGTTTATAATTAAGGTTTAATTTGGCATGTGAACCAGGCCAATGTGTGAATTGCTCTTCAATATAGCGACAGTCAGTGTTATATAAATTTTGTTCTGAACTGTGCTGATTACTACTACAACGAAGCTCCTAACAGCAGGCTAAAACTCTCAAAACTCTAATCAGCCAACTCTCAGGGGACAAAAATGTCAGTAGGAAAGCACTGTTTAACCAAAAACAAAAATATAAACAACTTGTAGGAAAGAAATTCTCTTCTCTTAGAATCTAAGAGAGCCTTATAAACAAAGAGAAATAAACAATGCAAAATAATAAAACAACATTGTACAAAAGCAGTCACAGTAGTGTTTCTTCAAATATTTACATTGCTTCTATTTGGAGAATAACTTGTTCCATTTAACCAGAATCAGACTCTGAGGACTGCAGTAGTCCAGAGAGATTAATTACATCCTTTCAAGTTTTTCGAACAACTTTTGAAGCCACAGTACCGAGAGAGAGAGAGAGAGAGAGAGAGAGAGAGAGAGAGAGAAGAATGCACACTTCTCTCATTGATAATTGTTAGGCAATCTGAGTGCTTTAGGTTACATCAGCATAACAGGACTGCCACCAATTATTGAATCAAGAAGAGTATTGCATAAATGGGAACAAGATATCCTGTATGTGGTGATACACATTAACTGATAACAAAGACCATGATATCGTTCAGAGGCACTGGCATCCTAAATATGCTTCCTAAATCTTTTGACATAAATGAAACTGGGTTCAAACCAACACTTCTAAGAAGCTAATGATACATTGCGACAGCACAACCCATTTGGTATAATGATAGCAGTGCTGAACGCCTATTAAAGGGGTGCTCTAAAATGGAATCATGGACACATATTCCCACCTCCCTTTTCTATATTTTAACTACTCTTTATTTATTTTTTAAAGGAAACAACTCAGGGTTGCTGCCATCATGTCCATTTAGTTCATTAAAAAAAAAAACCAGGCAAATTCAACAAAGGCATGCTACAATTTCCTGTGTAAGATTTACATATGACTGATTCTCCAGGCAAGAATTAGTGCCATGGTTTCTTAGCACAGTCAAAGTAGCTACTACATAGTGGCTTCAGATCTTGGATTTGCAAGCAAGATGCAGAAGCTAAACTGCAAATGAGAAGAGAGAAGGATCAGCAAGCCCCATTCCAGCTACTTGCCATTCCCTATGGTTGGAAACCATCCCATTTTAAGTTGAGGATTCAAGAATAATAATTATTCCAAATCAGGAACCTTGGTACGTTTAATCATATACAAGGTCCTTTTCAGAGAGACACACAGCAGTGCTGGTGCAGTTCAATGCACCAGGCAGGATAAGTAGCTATGTGGGTGAGGCCAGTTAGACAGGTCTTTCTCACCCAATTCACATGTCACTGAGAGGGACTGTGCTCATCGGGTGGGAAAAATCTACTGAAATGGCATTCTTTGTTTTTTAACTTATGGATGACTTGTGCATGTTCCCCAATAGCCTGGAATCACACCGAATGCAAGTGGTTCCCACACTGCTCTCTGTGGGTATGTTTGTTGAATTTGAAGGTGACCACTTAAAGGAAAACCTATAGTGAGGTTAAAGGCATTGGAAGTTGGAGTCAGACTAAGTTGGGCACCAAATGTCGCTTACATTAATCATGACTAACATTCCACAATGTTTCCACATTTCAACAGGACCTAGGTTCAACTAATTTAATCTGGATAGAGCTTCCATCAGCCCCAGCCAGCATGGCCAAAGGGAAGGGATGATATGATATGGGTGGCTGTCTTTCATGGATGCTTTAGCTGAGATTCCTGAGATTAGTTAGACTAAATGACCCTTGGTGTACCTTCTGACTCTACAATTCTATGATTCTATGAGTTGCGGTCCAGCAACAATTCCGAGGGATACTCAATGTTTCCTACTTTACCTGTCAAAGTATTTGAAAAGCTCAAGAAAAAGCTCTTCTAGCATCGCAAGAAAGGAAGCAAAATACCAAAATGGGGAAAGGAAGTTGTTAAAAAAAATTGCAGACACTTACGTGGGGGTGGCTCTTGCGTTCCTTCCTCTGAACTATCCTCGGGCCCCTCCTCACCCACTCCAGAGGTGACTGAATCATCTGGGCCAGAAGCAGAACTTGGTGTGCTCGGTCCACTGGCAGACCCAGAGTCACCATCCTCACTATTTGATCTATACCGATCTTGCTGAGCGGCCGCCACCCCTTCACTGCAGCTTCTGCGGTCTTTCCTGTGCACACGGGAATGAAGTACCATTTGGTGATAAGTGCGGAAGATCTTGCCACACTCAAAGCACTCTGTGGACTTGTTCTGAGACACCCTTCTGCTCTGGCGCGAGGACGGCCTATACTCCAGGTCTTCTTGGCTAAGCATGCAGCTGTCTCCCGACTGCACGTGGCTGCTTTTTTCCGAACGCCCACTAGTACAATTCTTCTTTTTCGGATTGCTGGACGAGCTGGAGGAGTCCTGCTCTTGTTTGCGCTTCTCTTGGCTGACGAGAATATATTCCCTTTTGTCCCTGTCGTAAGTGACGTCAGCATCTGCCAGGACTTCGTCCCATCCTAAATACTTCACGTACTCAGAAGGCTCTGCAACTTTTCCTTTGGTAGCCAGATGCCAGGCCTGGTAACTGTTGACTGGATCCAGCTCAGCTACTCTTTTTCCTGAATGGCCCCTTGGAGTGCCATCAGTCCCTACAGATGGCCTTAGTTTCAGATACTGGAAGAAAAACTGCTTTGCAACAGGGGGGTCCCCGTCAACTAGCCTATCAACTCTATGTTCACTGTGGGCTCCTTGAGACTTGCAATGTACAGAATTGTGTGCTTTTAGGCTTTCCATATTTGTAAACAGGTTTCCACACTTTGTACAAATTTCATACAGGGACAAACCAGTCACAATCATCTCTTCTTGAACGACATCATTAATAGTGGCTATAGGCTCCGAATCATTTTTTGGCTTGTTTTTGCTCCCAGATTTTGGGCCATGGGATTTCATGTGGTTTTTGAGAAACCAGGGCTCTTTAAATTTCCTGCCACAGATGTGGCATCCGTGGTCAAAAGACCCTCTATGCTTTTTCATGTGAGCTTTGAGGAACCAGGTTTGACTAAAAGCCTGCCCACAGACTTCGCAAGGAAACTCTCCTGCACTCGACTCAGCCTTGCAGTTCTCGGCATTGTACGTTTCCCCGTTTGGAATCTGAGTGGTGATGTGGTCTCTTTCTATGTGGTTTAGCAGAGTCTCCTCTCTTAACGTCATGTAGTTGCACAGCCTGCATTTGAAAGGTTTGTGGACCTGGTGTATGTGCTGCTCCAACTCTTTCTTACCTTCAAACTTGTTTTTGCAGAAGGTACAAGGAAAAGTACATAACTTAACATCTTCTCCAACTGGTGCTTCCTCTGAGGACTCCTTCCTGCTGCTCCTGAGCAAGATCTTGCCTTCTTCTTTGGGAGTTGCTCCGTTCAATATCTTGTTGCAGGCAGAGGTGCGTTTTGGTAGGGCTAGTGCAACCATCAAGGCCTTCGGATACTCTCATCTCACTGAGCTGTGCTTCTCCTCCCATCTCCACTTCATTCCCCTGACTAATAGTGCCTGTCCTGTGACTCCGGATGTGAATCTTCAAGTTGCCCTTTTGGGAAGCTCTGTGGTCACAATAAGGACACTTGTATGGCTTCTCGCCTGTGTGCTTCCTCATGTGCTGCGAGAGTGAGCTCTGGAAAGGAAAACTTTTGCCACAGATGCAGCAGCTGTGCAGCACAGACTTGTTTGCATTCATATCACTCTTGTTCATCTTGTGAGGACTGGAGGCTCTTCGTAATTCCATGTTTGCGCTTATGCTACAATCCATCTGCACCGCAGAAGCATCAGTCAAAAGGGCAGAACCCTGTTCCGGGCTGGGAAACTGGGTTGCTTTTTCAATCATGCATTCCTGCTGATGGAACCTTTATCTCTTCATTCTCATATTTGGGTTTTCTTCCAGCTGCTTGAAAGCATTTGGGATACAAACATTCATTGGCGTTTCTTGAGTCAAATAGCAAGCAGGACCTGGAACCAAAACAGAAAACAGGACACGCCATTACTAAATGCAAAGCATTTCATTTCCTTTTGCTCCCTTTGTAATAGCCCCCTGTTAATGTTTTCTTGCCATCTTCACCAAAATGTTACATTTTCACCAGGCTGCAGAAAGTCTGACTTTGCATTGAATATTGTCATTCACAAACTGAATGTTCAGTAGAGGATTTACATAAGCCTACTTCCATAGTAGTTGCAGACACGGGCAAATAGAGTATGTGTCTGTATGTTTACTAAAAATAAGAATATAAGTATCAAAAAAAACCGTACTTTTTCTTTCTAGCCCAAACAAAAGTGTGTGTGTACATAATTTCGAGTGAATAAGCCCTTTCTCGAAGGAGCTGTAATATTTTAAGTCTGTGGCTTTATGGACATGTATAATTTAATGAAAAACAGCCAAACGTTTGTTTGCCTAGAGATAAAGGGTTTTTGTAGAGTGCAGCACTCTATCCCTGTTGACGGTAACTTAAGCATAGCTGCTGAATGGAGACAGCAAAGAGTGCATCAAATTTTTGTTAAAGCAACAATGCAGTTCAATAAGATTTTTATACAGGCCAATTAAAATTAACAGTAACAGTAATACCTTATTTAGGCAAATGTTGATGTAGACTTGGAAATCTTTACTAATACCAAGAAGGATCCATGGAGCATTCAACAAAAAAGGGTTAAACTGTTTTAGGCTGAAATCCTTCTACATTAGTTATTTTAAACTGAATTCAACAGGAGCAAAATTTTGTATTTTCTGTAAAAGTTATTGAAGGGTAGAGATGACTTAACTTCTGCTGTGCTCATACAGACTGGAGGCCTGCACACACTTCGGCTGCTTAAATCCCATTGCACGGGATGACAAGCATACTTGTGCTACCTTCTGACCATAAGTATAATCATGTAAAGCAAAGTTTTGTAAGGATATCTTGACATTCTGTTGTGCTTTTTAAGAAGAAACGAGCCCTTCTCTTTGCTGGTGAAGAGACATCCTGTTCTATTATATTACAGTCACCAAGTTATTAACATGAATGTGTGAACAGTGCAATGCATCCAAAAGATTTCAAGATTGGTCAAGTATCCAGGAAGAGAGAGTTGCAAATTTATGATCAGCCAGGGCTGGCACTAGCACCTTGCATCCTTCGAAAGGTGACAGAGTCTTCAAATCCAATCAGAACCCAATCCTAATGTCCATCCTGGACCCCATTTAAAAACACCATAAATGTTTTCTGCATGGTTTTTAGGCTTCCTCATACCTGCACCTAATTCTGGAAATCAGACACAAAGAATACCACTTGCAAATTTTGACCATATTCCACGGCTAGTAAAGACTCCATTATTAAGATGGTCTCATGAATATCTCTTCCTACATTGCCCAGTTCTATGCAATGCTGAACAGCAGTGGACAAAGACTACTGCTCCATTCAGTAGCAATAACTAATCTACTGCAGCAAGTTATCCAAAGCAGAATGTTTTCCCAGTTGTTCAACTAGCTCGAGTTCTGGTTGTTCTGGTTTATACGTACAGTATATCTTATTGGTGGCAACCTCCTTTTCTTCAGAATATGGAATAAATTTAGCTTTGCCTTTAAAAAGTTGACCTAGCAACCACAGCTCACCACACCCACTCCTTTACCCCATCAACACTTAAGCATGCATTTCGTTAAAAGAAACGGTGAATACACCCATTCTGTTTCACTTACTTAAATTTATTCTCATATATAAACATGTGAAGAACCTAGGCTTTCAACAGCAGCTTAGCCATGCACCCTTGGCCTTGGAAGAACATCTGCTCAGACAGGGGACTGTAGGGTTACTCAAGCAAGGAAGCAAGTTTAAAAAATAAACTTTCAGTTCTGATATGAGAATTTAACATTTTGCACAGCAATCCTCTCACCCACCGCACAAGAGGAACACCCAGAATGCTCTGAACAGTTCAAAAAACTGAAATGCACTTTCGAAGCTGTGATCATTCACATGCCTATTTAGAAATACATTGCACTGAACCCAATAGGACTTATATTACACGACTGATATGGCTGTCCTCAGCCCCTCCAGTGCGCCTATGGCTGCCCTAGAATTGAATCCCAGACTTTGATATTCTGCTTCAAACCATCTGTTGCAGTGCCCCTTTCTCATCACCAAAGGCAGTTCACATTATCGGGAAATAGAAAACGGTGTAAAACTTTTAACACTTAACACATTTGGAATACCCAGTCCTTACCTCCTTGCTCTGACAAAAATCCTGCAGAAAGGCTCTTCTTTCCTTCTATTGTGGACAACTTAATTCACTGTTATACTGCTTACTTCCAAAGGGAACACAACTGTTCAGTAACACTGGAGCAGCTAAATGCACAGGGGCGGGGAAGGGGTGCCTATCTTTAAATAGTAAGCATATCCTTGAATTCACAGGAAACCCTAGCAACCTGCGTCCTTCCAAGTAAATGCAGGCAAAAGGAAAAAGTCAGCATGACATTGCCTTGATTTTCTTTTCCCCAAACCATTGGAACAAAAATACTGGCAGTTTAAAATATACATATATAGAAAACGGACAAAAAAATATGTTTTGTTAGTTATAGCCACAACTGAAGCATAAGTTGTCAAAACAGAGAGGTAGAAGTGAAAAATGAAAAGGAGAGAACGCTACAAATAAATAAGAGGGGTTGTGCTCTTTAAACTGAAGTTACTTCTGTTTCCAGTGTTACTGAAGTAGATGTTTTCTTTTTAATTAATGTATCCTGTTTTACACTTTGGGATACATCCTTTTCAGATTTGCAGCTATTAACCCTGCATCCTTACTCTGAGAATCCTTTTCCATGGCATTTTCTGACTCACTCGCTCTCCCTTCTCTGTTCTAATGATATTTTGAATGGGCTCTAAACCTCCGGAGAACATAATTTAAGCTGTTCTGAAACAGCACCAAAGACAATAACCCTAAAGAAGAGACAAAGCACACCAACCAGCACCTATATTAAGCAAATGCAGCCTCCTGGCCATGGAATATCTACAATAAGGAAAAGCAAGAAAAGAACAACAGTGATACGTCCAATAAAGCAGCTTATTTAGCATTTTCTAAAGGAGATCCATCTGAAGAGGGTGTTCTTGTGCACTTCTACAGGGTATTCTGAGAAACACAGACCCGTCCCCCACTCAGGACATATTTTGCGCTTCAGTATACTGGTCCTGTTTGTCCTCCCAGGGACAAAGAAATGTATTTTATTGGCTACACTGTAGCACTATAAGGAATGAATTAAAATACATCATTGACATCCTGGTCCAGCTTATCTTACTACCAGGACAAAGAGGCTATTCTTTGAACAAATGGGAAGAGGAGGGGAACTCATAACAACAATGAAGCACTCCTTGCCCTAAAAACCGCTGTTACAAGATCAACAATTATAAGCTTATATTCTACAGATTTGGGTCCCAAAGAGCCGTATGAAGTGATGCATTCTCTAAATGGGAGAGTAAGTACCATTGATGACAAGGCCTTGGGGCTTCTGCTGTTCTCAGACCAATCAATAATCCATTATGTCCAAACTACATTTCCACTCTAATATGAAGAATAAAAGGACAGCCAATATTAGCAGTTATTTCATGTACAGGAGGGGAAAATCAATGAAACAGAACACACAAAAATGCTACCATCACAAGGTTGAAATGAATGGTCACACATGGCATTGACAAAACCGTTTACAGTACCCCTTTACCAACCCCTTTATTTCAAAAACTGTCTCTGCGCGAACATATTTCGCACACATGTGCTCTCACACGCAACACACAGACACCCCACCAAATGAAATAGGGCTTCCCAAATTAGTGCCTTACCATAATTGCAGGACAAAGGACAAGCACATCACATTTTCAAGTGGAGGAAACACAATTCTCCTTTTCATTTAATGTCTCTGTTTCTCTGAGCAAGTCACTAATCTCAAACATCATATCCCAATTGCAGTTAGCAGTATGAACAAATCTTCAAAACACAATCTGATCTCATCAAACATGGTATGCATCCATCGTTTTCTGGCATACATTGACACAAATAAGCTATTCTTTCTTTTGTCAACATAGCTTTTTAAGTTATCAAATGAGAGCTAGACTAGTAGTAGAAAATCATCTAAATAAAGAATATTTAATCATTAGATGAAAAATATTATTGCTTAAGAGCATATAGTGTATTTCTGGTAATAAAGATTAGTAGCTGAAGCTGACCTCAAATGCAAACAGGTCGGGGACAGCATGTTATTGTTGGTAAGATTAAGAAAACTAATCAGCGAACATGAGTAGGTATGGAGGTTTTGCCAGAGATGTTTTGATTTTAGAATGCTAATATGTAAGTTGCTATTGGCAACTTTAGGCTAAGGAGAAGCTGAGTGGCAACAGGTAAGAGTAGCTTAAGGAGAATTTGAGGGAAATGTGCATTACACATTTTAACTTGCCCAATCAAAAAATGTTCTAAATAGGATACACATAATTTTTAAAAAAATTAAATTGTCCTGAAATCAAATATCAATTAATTACAATACAAATGAACAAAATCACTGCATTAAAAATAGTATCGAAGTCTCTTCTGTTCTGAAGCTACCTAATCCACACAAAAAACAATAACAACAAATAACAATGTTTATGTTGTCTCTTAAAGGCTTTACAACAGGGGTCTCCTGCCTTTGGGGGCCTGGGCTTACATTTGGAAATCTAAGCAACTGCTGTGGGCACATAAGAGCCACTTCACACAGGAAAAACTAGCTATGCTCAAAACCACCACCCCCAAACACCCAAAACACAACGTGCAATGAGGGTAATGTCTGAGAGCATCATGGTGCCACACTGAGGATCCCAACTCTGAAACAATGCTGATACCTATAGATAACAAACCTCATAGGACATCGCTATAAAGATCTGCTCTATCTCCCTGCTGCTTTTGCAGAGGAAATTTTATGCACCATCCTCACAACCCGAGAAACATTCTTCAATATCTGCAGGGCTCGG